GCACTTCGTAGCCTGTGATTGGATGCCTGTCCGTTCGCGATCAATACCAGGGTTGTTTTGAATATACTGAGTGCATGTACCGTTGGCGTGAATAGAAGTTTGTGTTGCGTACCAGTAGAGTTCTGTTTCCTCGTTCGGGGCTTTGGTCGTGTTTGTTCAAGACCCTGCGTGCAGGGGACTAGTGTACGTGTAGATACAACAGTGGCGTCTGGGCTGTGGACCATTACAATGGCATTTCACCTACTACCTCCAGACGCCTTTTGGTGCGATCCTGCTACTAGACCTACGGAGAGTGATTGGATCCAATGGAGAACGTCTTTCACGAATTACTTGGACCTACTCCCAGCAACTACTACTTACGATGAGAAGCAAAAACTGAAACTACTTCGTCACCTGTTAGGCAATGAAGGTCAACGTTATTTCGATGCGTTAGATCTGCAGAAATTCGACACACTTACAAAGGCATTGGATGTACTCGATCAGTCATGGGGTGCACGGCCAAACATTTTCGCTGAACGCTACAAGTTCTGCTGTTTGAGGCAAGAAGATGCAGAGCCACTGGAACAATTTGTCGCTCGTTTAATTCGGTCTGTAAAAACCTGTGACTATACTAGCATCCCGAAGAATACACTTGTGAGTGTTATGCTGACGCAGCAGTTGATAACCGGTATTAAGGATAATCGTATACGCGAAAAGCTACTTTCCGAAGATCCGTCAAAACTTACCTGGGAGAGAGCCATAGAGATCGCAAGACTAATAAAAGCCGCCGTTGAACATTCCAGCCTATTCAAGTCGAGTGATATACTAGAAGTCAGTAAGATTCAGCACAAGGGTTCCAGTCAACCTCAGAATTCGACTGTTTCGTGCTATAGATGTGGGAGTTCTCGCCACAAAGCTGACTGTCAAACATGTCCGGCTCGTACAGCTGAGTGTAAAAGCTGTGGTAAACTGGGCCACTTCGCCAGATGCTGCCGCTCGCGTCGAGTCGCGTTAATTGACCAACAAAATGATGTTTCCACCTCACCGACTACACCGAATCTTTTTTCTATCAGAAGACGATTACAACCAGAAACACGACGAATTGCTTCGCTGGAACCCAAGCTCCCTGCTCCTGACATACGTACCGTTACACTCCATGGGCTTAACACTTCTGTACCAGTGACTATGGAGCTAGACTCGGCATCGCCGATAACAATTATCCCGTCCAGCATTTACGACAATTACCTGAAAGACATTCCATTACATCCTACGTCATATAAATTCGAATCGTACACAAATTCACGTGTGCAAATTCGGGGATATATAATGACGAAAATCAGTTTACTCTCAGTCGCATCTGATGTAGCTGTGTATGTTGCCTCCGAAGACAGTCCAGCCTTGCTGGGGCGAAATGCTATGGTTGCCCTCAACATAACACCATCTATCGAGCGAATGCGCATCATGACAATCAAAACATCAGTACTTAAAAGCTTATATCCCAAATTATTTGCTGAGTCGATTGGCCGGATTCCATCTGCTGCTCATCGAATATGCCTTAAAAAGGACGCTAAACCGTTTTCGATTTCGCAGCCACGTCCTATTCCATTGGCCAAACGTACGATGGTAGAAAAGGCCATACAAGAGATGATTTCCAACGATTTGATAGAGCCAGTTAACTGTTCCGAATGGGTGCATCCCATGGTCACGGTGTTAAAGAAGGACGGTACTGTGCGCATATGCAACGACTTGAAAGCGTTGAACAGTCAGATCGTCGTCGAAAAATTCGTTCTTCCCACAGTTGACGAGTTGTTGGTCAAGATAACTGGCGCGCGATTTTTCTCAAAACTAGACCTGAGGAAGGCCTTTTTCCATATGCCATTGACACCAGAATCCAGACCACTTACGGCTTTTCTGACATCGAGTGGTCTATTCCAGTACAAAGTCTTGCCGATGGGACTTAGCTCCGCTCCAGCAGCTTGGCAGAAGTTTATGAATCACTCACTAGCAGATCTACCGGGACAAATCGCTTACATGGATGATATATGCGTTTTCGGGAAATCAAGAGATGAGCACGACTCAAGGCTGCGCGCTGTGTTGCAGCGATTGGAGAGCCTAGATCTTCGGCTAAACCTGGAAAAGTGTATATTTTGTGCTACGGATGTCGAGTTTCTTGGGTACGTCTTATCAGCTGGTGGAATTAGACCATGCGCAGCTAACACTCGAGCTATCACGGAAGCCCCTGTACCGAAGAATACATCCGAGGTTAAGCACTTTCTTGGTTTATGCTCGTACAACTTGCGCTATTTGCCCGATTTTGCAACTATAGCGGAGCCATTGAGAATGCTGACAAAAGAAAAAGCTACGTTCGATTGGGGCTCTTCGCAGCAGTCGGCCTTTGAAGAAATTAAAAGACGCCTCGTCTCCACCCCAATGCTGGCCATTTTCGACGAAAACTGCCCAACATTCGTCTCAACGGAAGCGTCAAACATCGGTTTAGGAGCGGTCTTGTCTCAAATTCAGAACGGTGAGGAAAAAGTGATTGCATATGCTTCTAGAAAGTTATCCCCTACTGAAGTTTCATATTCCGCAGGTGAAAGGGAGGCCCTGGCCTGTGTATGGGCCTGTGAAAAATGGCACCTGTTTCTGTTTGGTCGGAGATTTACATTGCGCACGGATCATGCTGCTCTAACTACCCTCCTCAGCCGAGGAACCAATGGTCACAGGCCACTACGGATTAACCGCTGGTATGCGCGGTTACTGAACTATGATTTTCAAATCATCTTCCGCCCTAGCTCCGAGAACCGTATGGCAGATAGCTTATCACGTCTCCCATTGGATGATTCCGACAAGAATGAAGACGACGAAGAAAAAGTCATGATTTCTGCTTTACAATCAAGTGAGCTCTCCGCGGTTACTAAACAAGAGCTTCAAGAAGCTAACCGGAGTGATTCAAATGTGCAAGATGTCATTCACTATCTCTCTCAAGGCTGGCCTCGCTACGCGAAGTTGAGTGGTGAACTACGGGCGTTTTATGTTTTACGACATGAGCTAGCGGTCGTTGACGATTGCCTTATGCGAGGATCGCGATTCGTAGCTCCACAGAAACTGACATCAAAAATTATCCAATGTGCACACGAGGGACATCCGGGTATCGTACGGACGAAGCGCCGACTTCAAGAATACTTTTGGTGGCCAAAAATGAATAAAATGGCAGAGGCGTGTGTCCGGTCTTGCGATGCATGTCAGAAGGCCGACAAGAGCTCCAAACCGATCGATGCCCCCATCCAACCTGTTACTTATCCAATGAAACCTTGGTCGAAGGTGGCGATTGACATCATGGGACCGTTTCATTCTGCGCCACAGCACCAGAGGAACTGCTTAGTTGCCACGTGCTATTACAGTAAGTGGCCGGAAATCCATTTGTGTGGCGATGTGACCACTTCAACCGTTATACGGTGGCTGAAACATCTGTTTGCTAGATTTGGGTTTCCTGAGGAAATTGTGACAGACAACGGACCACAATTCACGAACTATGAGTTTAAACGTTTCTTACAGCTTCGTGATGTGAAGCACGTACATACTGTCCCGTACAACCCAGCTGCCAACGGCATGGTTGAGCGCACTAATCGCACGCTAAAGGAAACTATACAGACAGCACGTTTGTCCGGCAGGCAGTGGGAAGATGCCGTTTTGGAGGCTCTGTTTACTCACCGAACATCGCACCACAGAGCGACTGATCGCACCCCAGGTGAGCTGATGTTTGGCAGGAAGTTGCGTACGAAATTAAACGCAGCTATTTCGGCTGCAGAAAACAACGACCCCCACCAACTGGAACGTCGCCGGGGATATCAGTCATCCTACGAAAAACGGGCCACATCGCTGCGTCCTGGAACGTTGGTCAGGCTAAAGGAAAGGCAAACACGTAAAGGAGAACCGGCACTGACGAGACCCATCAGAATTACTCGTGCGCTAGGGCCAGGAACTTATGAGTTAGCAGACGGCCGACGAGTCAACGCCAGACAGCTATATTCAGCACTTCAACCGAAGCAATGTCCTGAAACGAGGGCCACCGCAGTGAACCAACCGCTGAAGAGGGGGAGTAGTGTGGTAGCGCGTACGCGCGGGCCTTACCACGACCGCACTTCGTAGCTTGTGATTGGATGCCTGTCCGTTCGCGATCAATACCAGGGTTGTTTTGAATATACTGAGTGCATGTACCGTTGGCGTCAATAGAAGTTTGTGTTGCGTACCTGTAGAGTTCTGCTTCCTCGTTCGGGGCTTTGGTCGTGTTTGTTCAAGACCCTGCGTGCAGGGGACTAGTGTACGTGTAGATACAACAGTGGCGTCTGGGCTGTGGACCATTACAATGGCATTTCACCTACTACCTCCAGAAGCCTTTTGGTGCGATCCTGCTACTAGACCTACGGAGAGTGATTGGATCCAATGGAGAACGTCTTTCACGAATTACTTGGACCTACTCCCAGCAACTACTACTTACGATGAGAAGCAAAAACTGAAACTACTTCGTCACCTGTTGGGCAATGAAGGTCAACGTTATTTCGATGCGTTAGATCTGCAGAAATTCGACACACTTACAAAGGCATTGGATGTACTCGATCAGTCATGGGGTGCACGGCCAAACATTTTCGCTGAACGCTACAAGTTCTGCTGTTTGAGGCAAGAAGATGCAGAGCCACTGGAACAATTTGTCGCTCGTTTAATTCGGTCTGTAAAAACCTGTGACTATACTAGCATCCCGAAGAATACACTTGAGAGTGTTATGCTGACGCAGCAGTTGATAACCGGTATAAAGGATAATCGTATACGCGAAAAGCTACTTTCCGAAGATCCGTCAAAACTTACCTGGGAGAGAGCCATAGAGATCGCAAGACTAATAAAAGCCGCCGTTGAACATTCCAGCCTATTCAAGTCGAGTGATATACTAGAAGTCAGTAAGATTCAGCACAAGGGTTCCAGTCAACCTCAGAATTCGACTGTTTCGTGCTATAGATGTGGGAGTTCTCGCCACAAAGCTGACTGTCAAACATGTCCGGCTCGTACAGCTGAGTGTAAAAGCTGTGGTAAACTGGGCCACTTCGCCAGATGCTGCCGCTCGCGTCGAGTCGCGTTAATTGACCAACAAAATGATGTTTCCACCTCACCGACTACACCGAATCTTTTTTCTATCAGAAGACGATTACAACCAGAAACACGACGAATTGCTTCGCTGGAACCCAAGCTCCCTGCTCCTGACATACGTACCGTTACACTCCATGGGCTTAACACTTCTGTACCAGTGACTATGGAGCTAGACTCGGCATCGCCGATAACAATTATCCCGTCCAGCATTTACGACAATTACCTGAAAGACATTCCATTACATCCTACGTCGTATAAATTCGAATCGTACACAAATTCACGTGTGCAAATTCGGGGATATATAATGACGAAAATCAGTTTACTCTCAGTCGCATCTGATGTAGCTGTGTATGTTGCCTCCGAAGACAGTCCAGCCTTGCTGGGGCGAAATGCTATGGTTGCCCTCAACATAACACCATCTATCGAGCGAATGCGCATCATGACAATCAAAACATCAGTACTTAAAAGCTTATATCCCAAATTATTTGCTGAGTCGATTGGCCGGATTCCATCTGCTGCTCATCGAATATGCCTTAAAAAGGACGCTAAACCGTTTTCGATTTCGCAGCCACGTCCTATTCCATTGGCCAAACGTACGATGGTAGAAAAGGCCATACAAGAGATGATTTCCAACGATTTGATAGAGCCAGTTAACTGTTCCGAATGGGTGCATCCCATGGTCACGGTGTTAAAGAAGGACGGTACTGTGCGCATATGCAACGACTTGAAAGCGTTGAACAGTCAGATCGTCGTCGAAAAATTCGTTCTTCCCACAGTTGACGAGTTGTTGGTCAAGATAACTGGCGCGCGATTTTTCTCAAAACTAGACCTGAGGAAGGCCTTTTTCCACATGCCATTGACACCAGAATCCAGACCACTTACGGCTTTTCTGACATCGAGTGGTCTATTCCAGTACAAAGTCTTGCCGATGGGACTTAGCTCCGCTCCAGCAGCTTGGCAGAAGTTTATGAATCACTCACTAGCAGATCTACCGGGACAAATCGCTTACATGGATGATATATGCGTTTTCGGGAAATCAAGAGATGAGCACGACTCAAGGCTGCGCGCTGTGTTGCAGCGATTGGAGAGCCTAGATCTTCGGCTAAACCTGGAAAAGTGTATATTTTGTGCTACGGATGTCGAGTTTCTTGGGTACGTCTTATCAGCTGGTGGAATTAGACCATGCGCAGCTAACACTCGAGCTATCACGGAAGCCCCTGTACCGAAGAATACATCCGAGGTTAAGCACTTTCTTGGTTTATGCTCGTACAACTTGCGCTATTTGCCCGATTTTGCAACTATAGCGGAGCCATTGAGAATGCTGACAAAAGAAAAAGCTACGTTCGATTGGGGCTCTTCGCAGCAGTCGGCCTTTGAAGAAATTAAAAGACGCCTCGTCTCCACCCCAATGCTGGCCATTTTCGACGAAAACTGCCCAACATTCGTCTCAACGGATGCGTCAAACATCGGTTTAGGAGCGGTCTTGTCTCAAATTCAGAACGGTGAGGAAAAAGTGATTGCATATGCTTCTAGAAAGTTATCCCCTACTGAAGTTTCATATTCCGCAGGTGAAAGGGAGGCCCTGGCCTGTGTATGGGCCTGTGAAAAATGGCACCTGTTTCTGTTTGGTCGGAGATTTACATTGCGCACGGATCATGCTGCTCTAACTACCCTCCTCAGCCGAGGAACCAATGGTCACAGGCCACTACGGATTAACCGCTGGTATGCGCGGTTACTGAACTATGATTTTCAAATCATCTTCCGCCCTAGCTCCGAGAACCGTATGGCAGATAGCTTATCACGTCTCCCATTGGATGATTCCGACAAGAATGAAGACGACGAAGAAAAAGTCATGATTTCTGCTTTACAATCAAGTGAGCTCTCCGCGGTTACTAAACAAGAGCTTCAAGAAGCTAACCGGAGTGATTCAAATGTGCAAGATGTCATTCACTATCTCTCTCAAGGCTGGCCTCGCTACGCGAAGTTGAGTGGTGAACTACGGGCGTTTTATGTTTTACGACATGAGCTAGCGGTCGTTGACGATTGCCTTATGCGAGGATCGCGATTCGTAGCTCCACAGAAACTGACATCAAAAATTATCCAATGTGCACACGAGGGACATCCGGGTATCGTACGGACGAAGCGCCGACTTCAAGAATACTTTTGGTGGCCAAAAATGAATAAAATGGCAGAGGCGTGTGTCCGGTCTTGCGATGCATGTCAGAAGGCCGACAAGAGCTCCAAACCGATCGATGCCCCCATCCAACCTGTTACTTATCCAATGAAACCTTGGTCGAAGGTGGCGATTGACATCATGGGACCGTTTCATTCTGCGCCACAGCACCAGAGGAACTGCTTAGTTGCCACGTGCTATTACAGTAAGTGGCCGGAAATCCATTTGTGTGGCGATGTGACCACTTCAACCGTTATACGGTGGCTGAAACATCTGTTTGCTAGATTTGGGTTTCCTGAGGAAATTGTGACAGACAACGGACCACAATTCACGAACTATGAGTTTAAACGTTTCTTACAGCTTCGTGATGTGAAGCACGTACATACTGTCCCGTACAACCCAGCTGCCAACGGCATGGTTGAGCGCACTAATCGCACGCTAAAGGAAACTATACAGACAGCACGTTTGTCCGGCAGGCAGTGGGAAGATGCCGTTTTGGAGGCTCTGTTTACTCACCGAACATCGCACCACAGAGCGACTGATCGCACCCCAGGTGAGCTGATGTTTGGCAGGAAGTTGCGTACGAAATTAAACGCAGCTATTTCGGCTGCAGAAAACAACGACCCCCACCAACTGGAACGTCGCCGGGGATATCAGTCATCCTACGAAAAACGGGCCACATCGCTGCGTCCTGGAACGTTGGTCAGGCTAAAGGAAAGGCAAACACGTAAAGGAGAACCGGCACTGACGAGACCCATCAGAATTACTCGTGCGCTAGGGCCAGGAACTTATGAGTTAGCAGACGGCCGACGAGTCAACGCCAGACAGCTATATTCAGCACTTCAACCGAAGCAATGTCCTGAAACGAGGGCCACCGCAGTGAACCAACCGCTGAAGAGGGGGAGTAGTGTGGTAGCGCGTACGCGCGGGCCTTACCACGACCGCACTTCGTAGCTTGTGATTGGATGCCTGTCCGTTCGCGATCAATACCAGGGTTGTTTTGAATATACTGAGTGCATGTACCGTTGGCGTGAATAGAAGTTTGTGTTGCGTACCAGTAGAGTTCTGCTTCCTCGTTCGGGGCTTTGGTCGTGTTTGTTCAAGACCCTGCGTGCAGGGGACTAGTGTACGTGTAGATACAACAGTGGCGTCTGGGCTGTGGACCATTACAATGGCATTTCACCTACTACCTCCAGAAGCCTTTTGGTGCGATCCTGCTACTAGACCTACGGAGAGTGATTGGATCCAATGGAGAACGTCTTTCACGAATTACTTGGACCTACTCCCAGCAACTACTACTTACGATGAGAAGCAAAAACTGAAACTACTTCGTCACCTGTTGGGCAATGAAGGTCAACGTTATTTCGATGCGTTAGATCTGCAGAAATTCGACACACTTACAAAGGCATTGGATGTACTCGATCAGTCATGGGGTGCACGGCCAAACATTTTCGCTGAACGCTACAAGTTCTGCTGTTTGAGGCAAGAAGATGCAGAGCCACTGGAACAATTTGTCGCTCGTTTAATTCGGTCTGTAAAAACCTGTGACTATACTAGCATCCCGAAGAATACACTTGAGAGTGTTATGCTGACGCAGCAGTTGATAACCGGTATAAAGGATAATCGTATACGCGAAAAGCTACTTTCCGAAGATCCGTCAAAACTTACCTGGGAGAGAGCCATAGAGATCGCAAGACTAATAAAAGCCGCCGTTGAACATTCCAGCCTATTCAAGTCGAGTGATATACTAGAAGTCAGTAAGATTCAGCACAAGGGTTCCAGTCAACCTCAGAATTCGACTGTTTCGTGCTATAGATGTGGGAGTTCTCGCCACAAAGCTGACTGTCAAACATGTCCGGCTCGTACAGCTGAGTGTAAAAGCTGTGGTAAACTGGGCCACTTCGCCAGATGCTGCCGCTCGCGTCGACTCGCGTTAATTGACCAACAAAATGATGTTTCCACCTCACCGACTACACCGAATCTTTTTTCTATCAGAAGACGATTACAACCAGAAACACGACGAATTGCTTCGCTGGAACCCAAGCTCCCTGCTCCTGACATACGTACCGTTACACTCCATGGGCTTAACACTTCTGTACCAGTGACTATGGAGCTAGACTCGGCATCGCCGATAACAATTATCCCGTCCAGCATTTACGACAATTACCTGAAAGACATTCCATTACATCCTACGTCGTATAAATTCGAATCGTACACAAATTCACGTGTGCAAATTCGGGGATATATAATGACGAAAATCAGTTTACTCTCAGTCGCATCTGATGTAGCTGTGTATGTTGCCTCCGAAGACAGTCCAGCCTTGCTGGGGCGAAATGCTATGGTTGCCCTCAACATAACACCATCTATCGAGCGAATGCGCATCATGACAATCAAAACATCAGTACTTAAAAGCTTATATCCCAAATTATTTGCTGAGTCGATTGGCCGGATTCCATCTGCTGCTCATCGAATATGCCTTAAAAAGGACGCTAAACCGTTTTCGATTTCGCAGCCACGTCCTATTCCATTGGCCAAACGTACGATGGTAGAAAAGGCCATATAAGAGATGATTTCCAACGATTTGATAGAGCCAGTTAACTGTTCCGAATGGGTGCATCCCATGGTCACGGTGTTAAAGAAGGACGGTACTGTGCGCATATGCAACGACTTGAAAGCGTTGAACAGTCAGATCGTCGTCGAAAAATTCGCTCTTCCCACAGTTGACGCGTTGTTGGTCAAGATAACTGGCGCGCGATTTTTCTCAAAACTAGATCTGAGGAAGGCCTTTTTCCACATGCCATTGACACCAGAATCCAGACCACTTACGGCTTTTCTGACATCGAGTGGTCTATTCCAGTACAAAGTCTTGCCGATGGGACTTAGCTCCGCTCCAGCAGCTTGGCAGAAGTTTATGAATCACTCACTAGCAGATCTACCGGGACAAATCGCTTACATGGATGATATATGCGTTTTCGGGAAATCAAGAGATGAGCACGACTCAAGGCTGCGCGCTGTGTTGCAGCGATTGGAGAGCCTAGATCTTCGGCTAAACCTGGAAAAGTGTATATTTTGTGCTACGGATGTCGAGTTTCTTGGGTACGTCTTATCAGCTGGTGGAATTAGACCATGCGCAGCTAACACTCGAGCTATCACGGAAGCCCCTGTACCGAAGAATACATCCGAGGTTAAGCACTTTCTTGGTTTATGCTCGTACAACCTGCGCTATTTGCCCGATTTTGCAACTATAGCGGAGCCATTGAGAATGCTGACAAAAGAAAAAGCTACGTTCGATTGGGGCTCTTCGCAGCAGTCGGCCTTTGAATAAATTAAAAGACGCCTCGTCTCCACCCCAATGCTGGCCATTTTCGACGAAAACTGCCCAACATTCGTCTCAACGGATGCGTCAAACATCGGTTTAGGAGCGGTCTTGTCTCAAATTCAGAACGGTGAGGAAAAAGTGATTGCATATGCTTCTAGAAAGTTATCCCCTACTGAAGTTTCATATTCCGCAGGTGAAAGGGAGGCCCTGGCCTGTGTATGGGCCTGTGAAAAATGGCACCTGTTTCTGTTTGGTCGGAGATTTACATTGCGCACGGATCATGCTGCTCTAACTACCCTCCTTAGCCGAGGAACCAATGGTCACAGGCCACTACGGATTAACCGCTGGTATGCGCGGTTACTGAACTATAATTTTCAAATCATCTTCCGCCCTAGCTCTGAGAACCGTATGGCAGATAGCTTATCACGTCTCCCATTGGATGATTCCGACAAGAATGAAGACGACGAAGAAAAAGTCATGATTTCTGCTTTACAATCAAGTGAGCTCTCCGCGGTTACTAAACAAGAGCTTCAAGAAGCTAACCGAAGTGATTCAAATGTGCAAGATGTCATTCACTATCTCTCTCAAGGCTGGTCTCGCTACGCGAAGTTGAGTGGTGAACTACGGGCGTTTTATGTTTTACGACATGAGCTAGCGGTCGTTGACGATTGCCTTATGCGAGGATCGCGATTCGTAGCTCCACAGAAACTGACATCAAAAAGTATCCAATGTGCACACGAGGGACATCCGGGTATCGTACGGACGAAGCGCCGACTTCAAGAATACTTTTGGTGGCCAAAAATGAATAAAATGGCAGAGGCGTGTGTCCGGTCTTGCGATGCATGTCAGAAGGCCGACAAGAGCTCCAAACCGATCGATGCCCCCATCCTACCTGTTACTTATCCAATGAAACCTTGGTCGAAGGTGGCGATTGACATCATGGGACCGTTTCATTCTGCGCCACACCACCAGTGGAACTGTTTAGTTGCTACGTGCTATTACAGTACGTGGCCGGAAATCCATATGTCTGGCGATGTGACCACCTTCAACCGTTATACGGTGGCTGAAACATCTGTTTGCTAGATTTGGGTTTCCTGAGGAAATTGTGACAGACAACGGACCACAATTCACGAACTATGAGTTTAAACGTTTCTTACTGCTTCGTGATGTGAAGCACGTACATACTGTCCCGTACAACCCAGCTGCCAACGGCATGGTTGAGCGCACTAATCGCACGCTAAAGGAAACTATACAGACAGCACGTTTGTCCGGCAGGCAGTGGGAAGATGCCGTTTTGGAGGCTCTGATTACTCACCGAACATCGCACCACAGAGCGACTGATCGCACCCCAGGTGAGCTGATGTTTGGCAGGAAGTTGCGTACGAAATTAAACGCAGCTATTTCGGCTGCAGAAAACAACGACCCCCACCAACTGGAACGTCGCCGGGGATATCAGTCATCCTACGAAAAACGGGCCACATCGCTGCGTCCTGG